TTCTTAGTAAAACATATATTTTTCTTTCATTTATCTATTCAAAATCGTACGTCAGTAATCTTTCTATATATAATATTCGACACTTCTCCATTTAAATTATTCTTCTCTATTTGATACAGAAGTGATAGAGATTTTTTAAAGAATATTATTTACAACTATAATTTCTTATCGTTTAATCATATGTCAAAAACATGAAAGAACAAACATTTCATTCAGTTAAAATCTTTCCATAATACAATCGTGTCTATAGTCATACTTATCTCGAAGATTTCCTATCTTTTAAATTGAGTATATCTTCGATATGACTTTTTTTTTCTGATTTTCCACTAAACTACCTGCCTCCTGATTAGTATTTAACAAATATTATATCTGATAAAGTTATGAGAAAAATCCAAAAGAAGTCTCATAATAGAAACAAGACAAATGTTTCAAGACGAGTCTCAGTAAATTTTCTTAAATATTTAACCTCCATTTTAACGACCAATAAGTTTCCGAAATACATTCTCTTTTATTTCAAAGACGTTTCTACCTTCTATGAAAATCTCTATCTTTTTCTAAATCATTCATCTTTGATTTTCTTCGAGACATTTTTCTAAAAGAGTCGATTCGACATTGTCATTCATTTTACAACCTATTTTGACCTTGTCTTTGAAGCTGCTCAATTTTATTTGGGAATACGTTTCGATCTTTTATCATTAATTTGAGTTTAATATATTTAAATCTCAAGTCTTAGATAAACTCTAAGGAAATACAATACAGAGAAATCAAGCGAAGATTTTTCTTTGCAAGAAGAAATCGAAAAATGTCACAATAATAAACTCAAATACTAACGAAGTATATTCAACTTTTTTACTTCTTTCCGTAAGTGGAAAGGTCTAGTCATTACTTAAGAACAATAAAAATATTAACTTTTATCTTAATCTCACCGAAAGTACATGATTTATATCAATCGTTTTTATATGCATTCATCTATATATTGCATATAAGAGCTCACCATTTTGACTGATTTTCTAATATTTTTTTGCCTACATTTCAAAATCTAATATATCACTCATTTGTAACTTATGAATCGTCTGACATCTTTTCGCTATTATGAATATTCGGCTCTAAAATTGAATACAAATTATTCAAAATTTATATTGTCAGTTCACAGATAATTCAATTTTAACTACAATTTCTGATAAAATGATTAGATACATTCTCTTCTCCCATATACTTTACATTAAGTTCATAAATTAATATATATCAGAAAGAAACTTACTTGTTATGACCGCGTTCTAGTGGATGTTTAAAAGGTAGGCCAAGGAGCACTCCGTTCAAAACTGAGCTTTTCCAATTGTGGATGATGCTCAAATAAATATGATAGAAAGCTTGATGAGCATTGTCGAAGTACAAGTGATTGTAAGTTTAAAAGATTAGTTTGAATAGACATAAAAGTTCTATCAAGTGGTAGAGCGAGTTCAGTGTCTAGAATATAATGTATGTATCGCCAAAAACGCAGATGACATACACGTAATGAAGGAAATAAGTGAAAAATTCATTCATAATATGCACCTTCAGGTACACCTATATACGTATATGCAGCACGATTAGTTGTTGGAAAGTGCATACTAAATATGATGAGAGAATTAATTGATGACAATGAATTGAGAACCATTTCAAAAGAAGAACGTTTAATGTCAATTAAAGATAAATGACGAAGATTGATAAATTTAGATACATGTTCAGCTAACCATAATCCATTATCAATAGCTAATGTATCTGAGACACATAATGAAATAAGATGATTACAAATGTTTGGTTGTGATAAATATCTATAATACAATTCGATCACTGCTATACTCATTCCATTGAAACACAAGTAAACGGGCATAAATGGCATGTTATTTATGATAGCAGCAAATTGTGAATTAAGATTAGAAAAAATATTGAATACTTCATGAAATGGGAAGTAAATAAATATTTCATAGAATAATTCGACGGCGAGATGTTCGAATGTTGTTGCCATAGTTTGTCTTAATATCATCATATTAATTGTTATGCATTATTCTTATACAATGACTTTATGAACAATAGCACAAAGTATTATTGTTCTTTTTGACGATAGTCACCCGCGTAAGACGATATTATTGTTACTATTCGTCAACTTCATAAGTCAAAGTATATACAGTTTGTCTTCCGTTTTTTTTTTCGATCATTTTTTTTTCCAATAGTGTGTTTATGTAAGATGACAATAAAAATTTATCCGATAGGCCATGAATTATTCTTTTTTCTTATATGAAGTGAAACTCATTTTTTTTTGATATCACATATATGACAATATTTTCAAAAAAAAAAGCTGCATAAAAATTATGAATTATAATGAAAGCACTGATTACTTTTTTACAATTGTATGTCATCATTTGACTTCCGGTGATTATTTTTTCAATGCGTGAAATGTCAAAAAATATAAGACATCAAAATTCTATTAGTCTTCAATGAACTTTGAACATCAGTTAACCCTTTCAGAATGAGTGCTACATCATATATACCATAGCCGTTTTTATAACAATGAAGTGTATTATGTATTCACGATTAGAAATAGTTGCATACACGCTAGAGTGGGCTTATAGTAGTAATATGCATCTAATGTGACTTGCTTGATCATGCCCCATTTTTCTCTCTTTTCTATCATGCATTAATCTATCCAAGGGGGAAAAGGCGTACTCCTGTACTCCCGTAATCCCCTGCTCCATGGAATTCATATACTCCCACTATGCTTCTTGGATTCCGAGTGTACTAGAAGTATTGTGGGAGTAGTTTTATAACCAAGAAAAAAATAAACATAAATCCAAGAAGATAATGATGCGGTCGCCTACTTCACGTACTCCCATTGTACTCCTGTATTTACACGATCATCTTAGTATACCTCATGCATTTCCACTACATTCTTATTATACTTTCGTACCTTCACTGTACCCTCGTACTTTCGGAGTATGCCTTTTCTCCCTTGAATGGAATCACATGATAATTCCTGTACAGGAGAAAATAAATGTTTATAAAGTTTTTCATAAGAAGTTTATATTCAAAAATCCGTAGATTTTTATCTGATAATTAAATGATAGAAACCAACTGCAGCATTGTTTCAATGATTTGCACTTTTTCCAATCATATAAAGCATAATTTATTGAAGTAATTCACATGAATTAATCTTTACTTGACGATCAAAACTATGCAATGCTAAATCAACAATCCGAGATCAAAAAAAAAATATCTAAATTCAAATCAAAAAGTTTATTAAAGAAAAATCAAGATATTTTTTATTACCAAGATGAGTCGTTGGTTTTAAATTATCAAATGAAACATTAAATGTTATATGATATTCATTATCTCATGTGATCGCTTCTTTGATTAAATAATTTGAAGTGTCATCAATCAAATAATAATTAACACGATTACCTAATGAGCCAAGATATTTCAAAATATGAAATTATACACGACGAATATCACTATCGGAAGAAAATCTATGGTAAAAAGGACGAATTTCTTCATATATGTTTGATCTGTTTTCGTGTTGGTAAAGCATGTTTATTTTTCGAATGACAACGTGTTTTTTCTCGTAAGGATGATACAACAGCACGAAAATTAACAATATCACCTAAAATATTCAATATTTGCATGTTTTTAAATCTTTTTCTTTTTTTGTTTCCTTCATCATGAGATAAACGAAGAAATTCATCCAGATAAAGTAAAATTTGATCATAAATAGATTAAACCAATATATAAAGCAAGCTAAAAATATTTCAAACATTATTCTTCATTCAAAGATTTTACTTGAATCGCGAGCACATAATCAGTAAAATCATAATCAATACATTCTGATGGTAATCAGATAATAAATTGTAAACATGATATAACTAAATTATCTCGATATTGTTGTTGCTGAGAAAAGACTTCATGTGCAAATTATTGAACAAGTGCACAGACGGCTGCAACTTGTTCGTTTTCATTAATATCAGTTTCCATTATATAAATATCACTACGAGTTGTTGACACAGAACAATTAGACTAAAGAAGTTCAAAGATGAAAATGAAGAGTTTTATAATGATAAAATTGCTTTGCAATAATCAAGTTTTAGATAAATATTCATAACAAATGTTATATTCCACTAACTAATAGATATCTAAAGAAAAATATTTCTTAGATAATTATTGATTAATTATGAATTACTTTGTGAATGCGATTATAATATCGTATAAAAATGTTGATATCTATTTTTCAAATAATTCCGGTGATTTCACAGATAATTAATCTCTAAACAAAAACTTCACATTCTTTCGATAATTTTTTCAAATCTCTACTCATTATAAAATATTTGAAAATATTTTGGTTTTATTGGTCTCATTCTAAATACTGGATCATTCGCTATTGTTTCCTCCTTACTTTTATTTTATCTTTTTCTATATTTAAATCTAATCGATCAATAATATGTAAAAATTGAATCAATAATTACATTATATAAAGAAACGAACATATTTTGTCGATCAAATATTGAATAAATATTTGTATAAAATTCATTTAATGTTGTAACATTTAAAATTGTTTTTCATAGCGAAAGATAATTTTCATAAGCAATCGTTTTACCAATTAAAAGAAGTGATATACTTTTTCTTCAGATAGATCAGGTTCATAATTTTCTAATTCTTGTTCAATATTAGATTTTAATGGATTTGAACAACAACGAATCAATGCTCTTCGAAAAACAAAATGAAGAAATGGAATAATCCAAAAATTCAATACCAATTCGACATGGAAATGGTTTATAAGAATTTAATTTTGTTCGTAAAGCTAAAATCATTTTAATTAGAGATGAACATGTTGTTGCTTGTGGTTTAGATTGATAACATAGATAATAATCAATTGCCATCTAAGCTAAACGTTCAAATAGACCAAGAAATTCTTCATCAATTAAAGGGGAAAAAAAATGAAATCTTTACATTGGTCATTTCAATAATGATCGCTAAAATGCTTCAATTAAACTTGATAAATCATAAAATTTATCCATTGCTTGGGATAAAATATCATTGTTACCATCACAACGTTGAATAAGACTAACAAACATAAACTTCACATCTTCTTCTGCTCCATAAAGTTTCTAAGCCTACAAAACAATCAATTTATCAAAATCTAAGAAAAAGATTCTCATCTTACATTTGCAAATATTCCATAACAACAAATTCCCATTGCTAAATCTCGAATTTCTAATACCGGTGTATCGATTTTATCAGGAAATTCTTTTATAAAATATTGAAAAATTTATACCACTCGTCGGCGTTCTTCCGATGTTGAGATATTCATTTCTTTCAATATATTTACAACCTCAGATCAGCATAAAAACCAATTACTCAAATCAAATGAATTTTTCTTTTTTTTGTTTTTTACTCCAAGTAAAAATGTCTAATAAGCACGTTGAGCTCCTTTTTTTACATCGTGCATTCCATGTTCGAATACATCGAGATATTTTTGAAGATTGCACTAGCAGCAATTAACATTTCAAATTTGACAACATTTTTAACTAACTAAAAATTTCTTCAAATAGATAATCAATCTGAAGCTTTTCTTTTTCATGGAAATATTTAAAATATTGACTAAGTAATAATGAATCAGTAGATTTTCTCATATGTTCAAGAAAATATTTACATAATAAACCAAACAATGTCAAGCAAAAAGTCCTTTAACTAAATTTTGAAAAAGAAACAATTCTTAAACTCTCGTCAAAATTAATTCATTTGTTGCGATTGTCTTCGAACTTTGAAGACCAACTTGTTCTAAAAATGTCGTCGCCATTTTTTCTACTTCATTTGGCATCTAAGAAGAACCAACAGTTAATTCCATTAACTAAATCAATTGATTTTTTTTTACAAATCAATCTTAATCTCTTGGAAGATTTACTTGTAATAAAACAGGAAATATCCATGCTGGTGTAATAATTGAATGTTCCATTTTTTTTATTCTTTGGAAAAATTACTTTAGTATTTAAACTTGCCCGTTCGAGAAATGTGAGAATATTTTCGTGATTAGAAAATATAGCTGATAAACACATCGCTCTTCAAAATAAGAAAATTTTTATTAGAATTTTTTTCAGCTTTTTGTTCATCACCTATTTGCATAGGTGGTGGATGTTTGAATTCAGAATAAGTTTAAGCAAGCTTGGTAATAATTGTCGATGATTGTTGATCAGCATCAGATATATCATCAAGGCAATCGAGATTTTTCTGTAATTCACCATTATAATTATTCAACCACCCTTTTTAACAAAAAATAGTATTATTGATTGATTGATTGTGCAATAACATCGAAGAATGAATAAAAATTTTGTTGACAAACGCTTTGATATTTACTTTTCGGAAAAGCATAGAGGATAGAACTCAGTAAAAATATTCTATTGAATTCGATTAATGTCTGAAGAAGATGAAATGAATTCTTCTTCAGAATAAGGACATCAAGAGATTCCTCTCATTCTTATGGATATGATAGTATGCGCATTCTGAAGAATTATCGAAAAATTTAAATGAAATATTTATTTAAAATCTACTTTCATTTTAATCATTCCAACTCATTTAACAGTTATTCGTTTTAAATTGTTTGGATAAAAGTCAATATATGTATAACTAATATAAATCAATTCAAACATTATTCAATTAAACAGAATTATTGAAATATCTCAATAAATAAATCTAGAGCAAATTTGATATTTTATTATTATATAGATAATATAATTATAAATAAGACATTGACAATATTACAATTGACATCACTCTCGTTTTATATAAATAAATATGAGGTTTCGTATGAGAATATCCTTAAATGTTTCTTTAAAATAAATTCTATGATTTTGTTTTTGAATCATTGTTTATAATAAATCATTATTTTCAACATTTGTTTTTTCCTCGTTGTCATTTCTATTAAGAGGATCTTTTACCACCTTTTTATCTTCACGTGGTACACTTTGAGAACGTTTTAATAAAGATTTTTCATTATTTAATTGACGATCAGTCGACTAAAACAAAAAAAAACATCAATGAAAAAAAGAAAAACTCTCTATTGAAACATATTGATCATTGAAATATAATAGAAAAAGACTAATTCTTATATAAGTCATTTAATAGTTATATTTGACATCGATAGTTTACCTTGATTATATCCTATGAAATATTCAACCAAAATCTATTTACATCTACAATAAAACTCTTTTTATTTGACGATTAATCAATTCATAACGATCAAATACAAGATAATTTAAAAAGGTTAACATATGATAATAATAGTTATGAGATTGAAATAAATAGATCTCTTCTTAATAGACTATTGAATTTTCTATTATTTAACTGTTGCTATAGAATCTTATCGAATAATAATATCTTGTCAACTTATTTAATTTATTGTAAAATAATAAAGAATAATTATATTTCATTCGTTATATCTGTTATATATAAACAAAACTAAAATCAGTCGATTATGCATTATATTTAACTGGAATAATTTGAATATTTTCTTCTAAAATAAAATATTCAATAATCAACTAATAACTTAATTAAATATTCTCTTGCTTCTGTCTCTTGAATTATTGCTATGCGAAAACATCAATATAGAATCGTTCTTCTATATTATTTCAATATAATATAGACATTTTCAACGATTAATTAAGAAAGCAAGGCAAATAATGATAAACTACTCTTTTATCTTGTTTACAGTATAAGTTGACCAAATGATAAATCGCATTTTAACCTAGTTGCATATACATATATAATTGTTAGGGTCTACTCAAGAACTATTAATTGTCGAATAGTTCGATCTGATAATCGATTCTTACTGATAGATGACATATAGACGTTAAACTTTGCTGTAATAAAGGCATCAATGAGACTATCATTTAGAAAAAAAAAACCATTAAGAATTTTTCGAGAAAATTTCTCCGAGATATAATATTTATTAAAAAAAACTTGGATCTTTTTCATTCTAAAGATTTTTCTCATAATTAATGAATTTTATCTGGATAAAATTTTCGCCATTAATTTTTTAAATGTACGATTTTGCTTTAAAAGTGAAGTTATGCAGAAAAGCTTCACTTCAAAGTCTATATGTAATGTAAACAAGAAAAAAGAGAACATTATGAAATAACTGAAGATTATTAACGATGTCAATTATAAATGTTCTTTGATAAGTCTTCTTACTAATAGAGATGTCCGTGGCGGTCGCGGTCATTTTTCAACCGCGATGGACATCTTTATCAAAAAAAAAATCATATACGTATATTGATAATAAACTTGAAATAAATTGTTTTATTTACTTTAGAAATAAACCAATCAATATCATATTTAGCAATATTATCAAAATAGACTGAATTTTTAGCCCAATTATCTTTCCAATTTTCTCTATTAATATCAAGTTTTTGTTGCATAAGTCTTTTCATAATATTTGCATTTTCTTTTGAAACTTTTAATAATTCTTGTCGACGTTTTCCTTGATTAAGACTAATAAATAATATAAATAAATATTTAAAAATAAATAAAAATAAATTTAACCTTTTTAATTCATATTGATGATGACTATCAACAGATCCTTTTGTTTTCATAATATGTGATACTTTTTCTAATAATATACGATTATCACGTTCAATTATTGCTCGATGTTCTTCTTCCAACTATAATTTAAAAATCAAAATAACTATCAACTTAAACAAAACAAAATAATAATCATACTTGAAATTTTTTATATTTCATATGAAGATGTAGAAAAGTTTGTGGAGGACGTGCATCAACACATGGTTGAGCATCACGTACCTAACAAATATTTCCATAAGAGAATTTTATATATTAATTAATTAAATTATACTACCAATATTCGATGATCACTATAATATTTATCGTCCCATCTTTTTTTAAGAAATTTATTTGTTGCTGGACATGTTGATCGATATGATTTATGCATTAATTCTATTTTTATAATATACTAAAATAAATCTTTTCATTAATTTAATTCTATCTATACTTAAATGTTAACATATATTCTATCAATAGATTCAATTTATAAAAAAAAACAAAAAATTTCATATGTTTTTTATCGATGATATTAATAAAACAAACAGATAAATGTGGAATTTCACCATTATACAAATAGTAACGTTGACAACTAATTAGTTAATCATTGATGAAATATGGAAAATATTAATTTTTCACTATATTATCGAACGATAGATGACTCGACTTCTCAGTTAGAATATATAAATCGAGTTTTCCTTCATTGTATTTTCTCAACAATTTGACAATGACGACAACAACAACATATCTTATTACATTATTATCATCATAAGAAAAAAAAAAGATTGTTTTACTTATTATTTATAATATATGTCGAACATAGTTCGATTATAAATATATATTTAAATAATTTTTTTTAAAGTATTCATAAAGTAAATCAACCGATTTATTTAAATATTAATTATTTATAGCTATAAGATGATCAATGATACAAATTTCAATATAGAACAACAAGTAAACATAAATAATTCAAGAAAATAACATAATCTCAAAATGATTATTGTCCACTTCTAATTAACGTTCATTCACAGAACATCGTTGATCAGTGAATCTTTTTTTTTTCTTTGCATAGATTGATTATTGAATATTCAAATTCAACATTGAAAACTTTACCCATAGTTACAATTATATTTCGTTAGATCGATCTGATTTACGAACTAATATCTAGACAATGATTATTGACTATATCATGTAGAATACTCGTCTTTAATTTGTAAATAATCATTGTCTATATACTGATTTTTTTGTTTTGGTCAATCAGATTGATCTTGCCTATGGAAAAGATTTCAAATAAAAATATTTATTAAAATTTCAATATTCAATAATCGATCTATGATAAAAGATAAACTGATCGTGAATGTTGTGTTAACATTTTACTATTCAATAAACAAATAAAAATCTAATCTATTTTATTAATAAATAAGTTTATTTGAAAATAAATATATTATTGAATAAATCATTGTTGCTGTATTTATTATTGTTAAATATAAATAATAAAAAAATGTCTGATTAAATAATTTTTCTCATAGTTTATTTTCAATATTCACTGAATAAATTTTATTTAAATGATAATATTCAATGAAATATTAATTTTGACATATATTATCATTGATATTTAATAAAATCATTTACTTTTATATATTTATATTAGCTTAAATATTAGTTTTTATTATCTCAAATTATCGATCAATTTAATGAATACGAATCAAAATTGTCGAAGTTCTTTAAAAAAAGTTTAGTGCTGACGATATTCATATTGATTAAAGTATAACAAGTTGAATAGAATAATTTATATTGAACAATCGTTCATCTTTATCAAGATTATAATTTATTTTAAAAAAATCGATCAATATAACTGCAAAAGTCACTTTGTTTTATCTATAGAATAGATTATCTTCATTGATTTAATACTGATGATGTTTACTTATATAACATATATAGAAAATAATAATAAGTTTGATAAAAGAGTCAATTTGTAACATAGATGAGTATGTTTATTCTTCTTCTTCTAAAGAGAACAACGATATATCATATAGAGATTTATAAAAAAAAAAACCACAAATAAATATTTGAATAAATATAAGTATATCGATGAATTATTTTCAAGATAAATGATAAAGCAGCGTATTAATATAAACAATAGATAAAATATTTATTTTCGTTTTTTTTTTTTGAATTGATACAAATTTGTTTGTCTAGAGGAATAATAAGTCAATTAATTAAATTATCATTGAATAAATATCTAATCACAACTTTTTTTTTTATTCAATAATAAAATTTTGTTGTTATATTATAATGAAAAGAATATATTTATCGCTCTTGTTCGATTTATGTTTAATTATTTTATTAAATTGTTTAAATAAGAAGATTTATATCATTTTATTTATAAATAAATTAAATGAT